TTTTTTTTTTCCTTGTCTTTTTGAGACAGAGTCTCCCTATGTAGTTCAGACTGGCTTTGAGCTCATTTTGTAGCCCAGGCTGGACTCAAGCTTGCAACGATCCTCCAGCCTCCTGAGTGCTGGGATTACAGGTGTGTGCCACCACACCCAGCTGACTACATATTTGTAGAGAATGATTCTTTGTAAATAAATACTTGCTGTGTCTGCATAATACGTGGTATTTTAGCATTTCAGTGTTTCCATACTGTTTAGTTAGCTTATAGTTATAATGATTACCCTTAATTTTTTTAGTTAATAACCAAAATACCTGGAATTTTAATACAGTCTTTTTTTTGAACCTCCTCTAGTTGAGAAAGCTTTATACTATCAAAGCATCATTTACTTTAGAAACAAAACAGCTAGGCATGGTGGCGCAGGCCTATAATCCCAGCACTCGGGAGGCTGAGGCAGGAGGATCATTGTGAGCTTGAGACCAGCCTGGGCTACAAAGTGAGCCCAACGCTAGCCTGAATTGCAAAGCAATACCCTGTCTCAAAAAGACCAAAAAAAAAAAAAAAGAAAGCAAAACTACAAAGTACAAAACCAGAGATCCTGGAGAAGGACAGGTGCCAAAAGACTTAATAGCAGTGAGGTGTGGTTGAGGATCACATTTTGAAATTAATTAGATTCTGGGACTCTTCCTTGACCATACAGTCTCGGCTGATCAGGTTGGATCATGATGGAGTCGTGTCCATTGGGTGAGTGTGGACAGGTAATGAGATGCAAGCCTCTCTAGATCAGTGAATGTGAAATAAGAGAAATGGCAGGTGACAATGTGGCTCAAACTGGTGACCTGACTATATCTTGCTTGAATGATGTCAGATCCAGGAACACCCTCTGGTCAGAAGCATAATTTAAATTGATGGTATTAAACATCAGTCAAATAGGTAATAACTTTTTTTTTGGTAATAACTTTTCTAAATTGAGGGAATTTATTTCTTTTCAGAAGGTGAGGAGATACTAAAAAGCAAGATGTTAGCTTTTGAAGAAATGCGGAAGAGACTAGAAGAACAGCATGCCCAGCAATTATCACTGCTCATAGCTGAGCAGGAAAGGGAGCAGGAAAGACTGCAAAAGGTGAGGAGTTAAAATGTGGAGGGATGAGGCTGCCGAGTAAAAGTTACTCACAGATGTCTATGGACTTGGACCATGTCTAAATGTGTTTTTTAATGTGGGCTCACTGGGGGGAGGGGCCCAAGGGAGCTTTTCACAGGTGAGGTTCCAAGATTAAAGGTTAAAGGTTGTATAATTTTTACACAAGTTGTTAACTCATATTTACATTCTTGTATAGTGCCATAACTGGTGCATGCCTGTTTACGAGTGCTAAATCATGGTTACATAACTGTATCCTACTGTGCATCTGCGCTAGACAATCAGGGTCACCTACTCAGGTGTCCTTAGACGCCCCTGAGCTTTGAAGTGGTCTGAGTGGTTCCCCACACTCAATTTAAAGGAATCATTGGCTTTGATACATAGATAGTATTTTTATCGTCAAAATAGGGTCTAACATTTAGATCTTTAGCTGAAAGTAGTTATATAATTTATGAAAAGGACACTTCTATTTTTCCTTAATTCAAAACAAAGCATATCTATAGTTTGTTGTTGTTTTTGAAATAGGGTCTTGCTCTGTTATTCAGGCTGGTCTTGAGCTCACTATGTAGCGCAGGCTGGCCTCAAATTCATAGCGATCCTCCTACCTCAACCTTCTTTGTGCTGGGATTACAGGTGTGCGCCACCACACTCCACTCAAAACATATTTTTAAAAGGTGTGTTATAGATGCTGAAATACACAATACGCAATAGCATAAAGATACTTGTTTTAAAATTAATTATGGTTATTATATCATTTTATTTATTTATTTGTCTTTTTGAGACAAGGTCTTGCTATGCAGTTCAGGCTGGCCTTGACCTCACTTTGTAGCCCAGGCTGGTCTTGAACTTGTAATGATCCTCCTGCCTCAGCCTCCTGAAGGCTGGGATTATAGGTGTGCACCATCATGCCCAGCATTAATTTTTTTGAGACAGGGTCTCACTGTGTAGTTTAGGCTAGCCTTGAACTCACTGTGTAGCCCAGGCAGGCCTCAAACTCACAGATATCCTCCTGCTTCATCCTCTCAAGTGCTAGGGTTACAGGCATGCACCACTACTCCAAGCCTGTATCATTTTTTAAAGTCCTGAAATAAGTTATCATAATTTTGAGAGAGGAAAACTTGAAATAAATGATAACTTGCTGTCGATTTTGGCTAAGTCTAAAATTATACTCTTTTGGGATATAACTAAAAGATGTAGCATGTTATAATGAACTATTAATCTACAGGAAATAGAAGAACAGGAGAAAATGTTAAAAGAGAAGGAGGTGATTACAGCGGAAGTCTCTGAATTGAACATTAACAATACAGTAGATTTAGAGTGGAGAAAAATAAGTGACTCTGGTTTGTTGGAAACAATGCTGTCTCAAGTGGACTCATTCCGCACTTCAAATTCACATAGTTCTGGTAAATATGGAAAAGTCGTTTTCATTTTAAAAAAATTATCCTATAGTAAGATATTTTATTTGGCACACTTTAAAACTATTAACTTCCCTTTTTAATTCCATGCCCATCCCAGTGCTATTTGCCAGCTGCTTAGTAACCAGTGAAAATGAAACCATACAGTAGATCAAAGGCCAGGGAGCAGGTGTTCTGAGAAAAGACTACCTGAGCAAGAGGAATATCAGGGGAGGGGCTCAGAGCCACGTCTGTTCATTCACGCAGCAGGTGATACGCTGCAAGTACAAACGCGATTCCTTATCTCCTCAGTGATTTTCAATTACCTCTAATTCCCCAGGCCCTGTCATAGCTTATCTTCACAGCATCTTGAGATGCTGTTTGTGTTGAAAAGATCCATCTGTGTATAAGCCTAACGTCCATCAATGTTGTAAGGCTGCATGTGGATCAGTTTCAGAGGCAGTTATTCCGACGGAGTATCACAAATATTTGTTTGGGTATTTTGCATATTCTGATTATATGACATAAAGCATAATATTGTATTTATATTTCTCTAGGTTTAGCAAATTCTGGCCTGCAGTATAGCTGTGGTTCTGCAAATGAAGTACCTTTCTACCTCTGGGGATCCTCAACTAGTGGCATGACCAAACTCTCAGTACCAAGGTCTTTTGGAAGGGGCCAACCTAGATGGTCTCAGGTGAGCAAATGTGACATATGTCATCTATCTAAATATCAGTCTATCTTTTTTAAAGACCTACATTATTTTAGGCTATACAAACAAGCTTCAAAGTTTTTGGGCATATATCACATAGCTTAGCTTTTGCTACAGATGAGAGTACATAGAGCAGATATATATAGTGAGGAATTCAGTTCATTGTACTAGGTTAGGAAAAACCAGCTGAGGGTTGGGGATGTAGCTCAGGTGGAGGGCTTGCCTAGTATGTGTAAGGCCCTAGCTTTAGTCCCCAGGACTGCAAAAACAGAAAAGAATTCGGTGTAATGTTCAGATTCTTAAAACATTGTGTCTGTCTTATTTCTCTTAGGTTTTTAATCCAGAAGTACAAGCAAAATTTAACAAAATAACTGCCATGGCAAAGGGATTTCTTACTCGTAGGCTTATGCAGACAGATAAGCTGAAGCAGCTTCGACAAACTGTAAAAGTAAGATCATTATCAACCCTTTCTATTTCAGTCTTTTGTATTTCACTTCCATCTTAGTTTCTGTTAGTCTTCTGACACCTGAGCTGACATTAATTCAGAACTTAGATCAAAAGGTTTCTTTTAGCCATTGTGATATAGGTATTTTTTTGGTGATTATTATTATTATTTTTTTTTTTTTTGCCAGACCTTTTTTTTCAGTCTTTTTGAGACAGGATTTCACTTTTCAGTTCAGGCTAGCCTTGAACTCACTTTGTAGTTCAGGCTGGCCTGGTACTCGCAGCGATCCTCCTGCATTAGCCTCCCAAGTGCTGGGATTACAGGCATGTGCCACCATGTCTGGCTGGCCAGACTATTTAAAAAAAATTCTCATTAATGGGTTTGGTCAAGAAGGAGAGCACAGTAATAAAGAAAACATAGATTTGTTTGCTGGGCCAGGGATATAGCTCAGTGGCGCTTGCAAGGTCATAAGTTCAATTCCTGGTACCAAAAACAAACAAACAAAAAGATTTGTTTGTTAAGCTCCTACAAAGACAAAACAATTAACATTTAAAGTACTTTGAGGACTGCTTCCCAGTTTTACTTGTCATTACAGGAAACTAACCTGAGGGGTAGAAGTGAAGGGTTCTATTCTAACAGGCAGTCATGGAGCATGCTGGGGCCTCAGCCAGGCAGAAGCACATGTGTCACTGAAGGGTCTGTGGCTGGAATCTCTTCAGAGACGCTCTGTAGAGAAGCCTGAATTAATCTTGGCTTCACACTAGGAAAAGACGTTTGCCCCTGTGGGGAATGAGCACAGGCTACAATTTCTCTGTGATCCTTGCCCTTCCTTTCAGCACCAGGGGCATTTTTAGGAACAGGATTTCTTAGCTTTAGCTGCTCTCTTTCCTACCCAGTTTGCCTGCACTGTCAAGTTCCTGCACCTTTCCCTTCGCTTGCAGAGGATGCATGCAGTGGAGGCTGGGATTAGAGGCCTGCCCAGTGGGAACCTAGCCACAGAGAAGTTTGGGGTGTATGACGAACTGTCAGTCCTGCTTGGTTAAGTTAATTCATCTCTGTGAATAAGGGTTATAGTTTCTTCTGCTGGTGACAGCTTGCTGTCTTAGTATAGTTTGTCTCAAGAAAATACTAATTTAAGTGAATTTTGGAGAAGGAAAAAGACTTTAATCTACCCCACTGCAGAGTGGAAGAGGCAAATTCTTTCCTACAGGTACAAACAAAATCTTAGAGCAGCATACATCATTTTCAGCGATCAACATCTGCATCCCCAAACTGTCTGCCTCCATGCCATCTTCATAAGCTCTTTTTGAATCTTCTGTCCAGACCCCACCATGTTACACTGGCTGCTCACAGACTGAGAGAGCATTCTCTCTGCTCTCCAGGGTGGCTTGCCCTTCTGCTGTTAAATGGGAAAACCCTTCGTCATAGATATAAAATGGGGGGCTCTCCCCTGGCCCTTTTCCATGTGCATCCACATCGTGCTCTTCTGCACCATAACCATCTGAGTCTCCCTCCTCAGGATCTGGATACAAGGCCTGGAGGTCACACATTGCAGTGGACATCTCTGCAGTGCTGAGTTACCACTAGGCACAAATCTAAATTCAGCACTAGGTTTGACATCATTATCACTGTCTTCTTCAGCAGCAAGAGATCCTTCTTTTCCTTTTCCAAATTTGGCATTTAGCATAGCATCCAGTTGTTCTCACATTTTAGTCCCTGGATATTGTGTGTAACCTAATGGTGGGGTATTGCAGTGAGAATCCTATCCTAGCACTGTCTAACCAAGGCAGGTGGCTCTCAGTGATGGAAAGGATGTAGGTGCAGAGGCCATTGCCATTCTGCACAGCCCTGGCATCTGGCTGCAGCTCCAGAGCCTCTCAGCCAGCCTGAGAAATCTCACTGACGCAGGGAGCACAGAATCTCAGCCTCAATGGGAGCTAGGACATAGTGATCCCAGCTAGCTGCAGAATGCCACCCTCCTAATTTTTAAAAATAATGTGTAAATGGGGTAGATTTATATATTTTGTCTCATTTGAATATTGGTGTGTTTTGACATGTAATCAGTGATAGTTTTATTTATGCTGTTAGTCATTTTGGCCGGATTGAGAAAAAGAACAAAAGCAAACTCAGTGACTTTCTTTTATTGATCTTTTTGAGGCAGAGTTTTGCTATGCAGTTCAGGCTGGTCTTGAGTTCAGTTTGTAGCCCAGGCTGGTCTCAAACTTGCAATGATCCTCCTGTCTCAGCCTCCCAAGTGCTGGGATTACAGACATGTGTTACCATACCCAGCAAAACTCACTGATCTTAAATCCTTCTAGAAAAATGTTTTTGAAGGAGCATTTCTTTTTTCAGGATACTATGGAGTTCATAAGAAGCTTTCAGTCAGAAGCACCATTAAAGAGAGGTATTGTCTCAGCACAGGATGCGTCACTTCAGGAGAGAGTGTTGGCACAGGTAAATGCACCTGTCCTGGCAGCTGATTTGTCCCACTAACGATCAGAGCCCCAACATAGAGATGTTGTGTTTCTCTTTTCAGTTACTCACTAAAAGTCGGTGTCAGTGACAGCTACCTCAGGCTTTTTCTCAAAATAAAAGAAGTATACATAGCGTATGTTGTATTACTGAACTCTGACTTCATCTTTTAAATGTGGACAATATTTTCTTCTCTTGTACATAGTTGCGAGCTGCCCTGTATGGTATTCATGACATATTCTTTGTAATGGATGCAGCTGAGAGGATGTCTATTTTGCAGCATGATCGCGAAGTTCGCAAAGAAAAAATGCTCAGGCAAATGGTATGTGATGTGATTTTTCTAATGAATACAGTTCTTCTGGCTTTAGGATAATTGAAGCTGAATGTCATTTTTTTGTTCACTTCAGCACCCTCCTGATAATTTTTGATCACAGGTAATTCCCAGGATCACTAGCAACATTTAGATCTGTAGACAGGGGCTGGGGATTTAGCTCAACAGCACAGTGCCTGCCTGGCAAACGCAAGATCGTGAGTTCAATTCCCGGTACTGGAAAAAAAAATAGATCTGTAGACAGATATGAAAGAAGTACACAGTGAAAGAATTGTACATTTGAACTAGATTTTGGAATTGAAGCCTTGAATGTTTTGCTTGGGTGGCTTTCAAAAAACTATTAGCTGCTTCTATTTGCTTAAAACTGTCTTAGGGGTCTTGCTGACTTTTTGCTTGTTATGCTTTGTTGTGTTTTGTTTTGTTTTGAGAAGATTTCACTATGTAGTCCAGGCTGGCCTTGAACTCACAGCAATCCTGCCTCAGCCTCTAGAGTGCCTGGGCTACAGGCATGCACCAGCACACCCAGCAGGATTTTGCTTGTTTGAAATCAAAGTTAGAAAATAAGCCCCAAGTTAATCTGATATCTTCTATTCCCCCCACCCCCTCCGGGAATTGAACTCACAACCCCATGCTTGCTGGGCAGGCGCTGGGTCGTTGAGCTAAATCCCCAGCCCTTAATCTGATATCTTGTAAATCAGACTGTTGTCATTTTTTGGTTTGAACTGAGTGTGATTGACATAATAAAAAGCAGAATTTATATTATCCCATTGGAGAAAACTCATTAATTTTTAAAATCAGACTGCTTCAATTGTAAAGAAAAGCTAAGTTAAAGTTAAAAATGTTGATAAACAGAAGCTTTTCCATGCAATTTGTGATCATCCTATATTGTGACAAAGTGGTATTATTGGTACTAAATAGAGTTACATGACTTTTATTCTTTAAAGGATAAAATGAAAAGTCCACGTGTGGCTCTTTCAGCTGCAACACAGAAGTCTCTTGATAGGAAGAAGTACATGAAGTAAGTTTTTTGGTATCATGTCACATTATCATCATTCAATTTTAGTCATCCATTTGTCTGTTTATGTATTTAAACTTTTTAAGTATATACTGCAGAGGTGAGCATGTATATATTTAAATTAGAAATAAAGAACAGTTCACTTCTGCAGTTGAAGTGATAGAAATCCCTTTTTATATAGAGTCATTAAAATCAGTTGTCAGAATCTGATTTCATCTTTTGATAAATGTATTCATGACTTAATCTATGAACATTCAGCTTATATAGTTGATAGTCAATCAAATAATCCTTAAAAGGCTAATTCAGTGTTTGCTGTTATGTCATTTATTTTTTTTGTGTTATTTTTTTTTGTTACGTCATTTAAATACATCTTCTTCTGATAGCCTAAAGATTTCCTAGAAATAGAAACATGATAGGAAGTGTTTTCTAATAACTTTTAAAAATTCTTTTTTGTTGAAAGTAGTCTTAGCTGGGCATGGTGGTGCATGCCTATAATCCCAGCACTTTGGAGG